TGCTCCCACGCCCTCGAAAGCTTCTGCTTGTTCCACAGCTTCTTTCGATTAAGTCCTCCTTTTCCAGTAGTCGCTTCCTTGTATCTACTGAGAGCAGTCCTCCAATGAAGACCATCGTGACTACCGCATCCCGATGATTCTTGATTTCTTCGAAACTACACGTATTTGCTGCTTTCTGCAGCTCCGCGTAGTATTCGTGCAGGGCTTGTCCTGGCTTCTGGACCTTCGACATGAGGACCGAAACGCTCTGCTAATACCAACTTCTTCGGTTGGTAATGGCGCTCCATAGCCTGTCGAAGATCCTTCAGTTCCACGTCCTCCAACTCTCGTCCTTGCAGGAGGGACTCCAGCAACTCATAATTCGAGTTGCCCACCTCCTGCAAGAAAATCAGCCGCTGCTCCCTTTCTTCTGTCACCTTCCTCAGTACGAGGAAGTTGGAGAACAGCTTCCACCAGGTTCTCCACGACGTCCCGGGAACATATGGTCCCGGGGACCGACCTCGATACACATCTGTACCGGGATCGGACGTCCGTGGAACCCCATGGAGCTGCCCCCCGTTTCGGCCTTGACCTCCGTCATCGACGATGTTCTTGCTTGTTGTCTTCGGTCTTCTTGTTGGTCGTTGTTCAGCTTCTCGTGCTCGTCGTCGTCGGTCTTCTTCGCTTGTCGCTGTCGGCCTTCTTACTGCTTCTTCGGTTCGCCTGATCGCCAGTTGCGATGAGACGACACTGGGAGAGGAATGATTTATTAGACCGCCAACAAGCCTTTTATACATTCACCAATCATTATCATCCTCTCATCCAAACATCCTCACTCTCTCCATTCTCGCATTCCACACCGCTCCCCTACACGCTCGACCGGATCATCTACATTTCTGTGCAGAATAGTAACGCGGAGGTCGAGCGGCATTTCCTGTGGATGTCGGAGTGGCGGTGTCTTGAGAATGGATTCTCGTAGTTTTGAGGGTTACGCAAGGCTCTTACGTGTCCATCCATCCTCTTTTAGAATGGCCTTCCTGTTTCTCCAATATAGAATTCTCCACAACCAAAGCACTCTACTTCGTACATCACATAGCTAATCTGAAACACCTTGTGTTCTCGACAAATTGTACAATTTTCCCTTTTGTACCGATTTTCATATGGACGCGATGATATGGACGTGATGATCTTAAGATGCATCGTCGGAGGGGGCCGGAATACCAAGTTGATTTGGAGCCCTGATCTTATTACGACGCGATTGGTGTCTATTGCGAAGGAGTCGGTGATGAAGGGTAGTACGTGGGGGGGGGGGAGAGCGGTGATCTCCAACATCGATACTGTCCCCTTTTATATCCGTTTTGCCGCAGAATTTCATCAACTCCGGTCACTATGTCTTGGCTGTTCACGGAAGTTAGTCGGCATGGCGTTGAGATCATGTGACAAACGACATTCAGGTTCATGTACAGAGGATGACAACTTCGAGCGTGAATAAGGTTATGGGTGCCCCCTTCTACTACCACGTGCTGCTGACTTGCCATTCGCTATGCTAACTTTCGTATTCAAAAATGGTAGGAAATCATCTTCCGATGGTTCCTCCGATGTCAGTTATATTGAGTGGCACGATGAATGTAGTTTTCTGAATGTTTCTCGCAAAGCTGTTCGTATGCTTCCGACGATGAATATGTCATCCATGTATCGTCCAGTATGAAAATCCTGACGATAGCGTTGATCGTTCAACGCTATCCATAAAAACGATTGCGAGTAATGGAGCCAATCGGCTTCCCATGGCGAGTCCTCGTCTCCGCTTATAAAACAGGTTCCGGAAGCGAAAGGTGTTTATTTTGACTACATCACGTAAGATGTCCGGTCCGAAGAGGATAGCCGATAAAAGTGTTTATTCTTACTAAAGAAGCCTTATATATGAAGTGTAATCTTATCAACTGTTATCTTATCGTATCAGTGCTGGAGCTTCTGCTTGATAAGATTGCTTTTCTTTATCTCGACCTTGAACATGTTCTTGCAGGTTTGTGTTCATGCTTCCTTTTCAATCCGATAACCTTTATATCGACATTAATTTGCTAAATAAAACAAAAAACAATAATAACGTCATTATAAACCAAATTCAAACAATGCTCGCCGAATCTTTCTAGTCACCTCTGTGACACTCCCCCCGATCTGAAGACTTTGATGATGATGTATTTGGAATCGGGCCACCGCCTCTCTGGCTTCGCCTTTCAATGCTCTCAGAAGGTAGTTGAACTTCTGGAGGTCTGAAAGTTGTGAAGAGTGCACGCTTGCGTCGAATAATTCCCAGAAGCTCTCCCACTCCCATGCTTTGCCGCTGAACTGGGGTAGTGGTATCTTTGGTAACTCTATTCGAGCTGTTGTGCTTCTACTGCTGACGGTACTCCCT